AGGGGACCTGCCCTTTTGGTGGGAGGATAAGAAGAAATTGAGAAGGAAAATAAATCCATAAAGAACTCCCCTGGGGGAACACTCTTTCAACTTGCAAATTGTTCAAGAAGCAGCTGAGCCTCCGGCGATGGCAGATGAACATCGCAGTTGGTTGGGGACAGGGGCTCTCTGGAGCCTCCCCAATGGCAGTATGACAGATGCCTGCTGCAGAGACATTGTCCCCTTCCCGTCTGGATCCCTGGGGGCCTTCCACCAGCCAAATCTACAAATGCCAGAATCGTCATCTCCTTTGCCCGAGGATTGAGCTCCAGTTGTCCATAGAGGTAACTTTCTTGACAACGTGGCCTCTATTTTCTGCTTTTCCTTCCCTGTCTCATTTCCTCCAAGCCTTCCAGCATTTTCTTCACCATCCAAATAAACCCTTTTGCCCTCAAATCCTTGACTCAGGATCTGCTTCTGGCAGAAGGAACCCACAACACAACACCTGCCATGAGGCCTAGGAGTCAGTATCTTCTTGTAAATTCCCCAGACAATTGGATATTCATTCCAGAATCCAACTACTGCAGCAATGTTGACAGAATCAAGAGAAAACCCTATATTTTGCTGTCCCTAAAGAAGAGTACGCCAGACATTTGGAATGAGAAGAGGTGAGTTTGGGTGTTGACCAGCAGTGGTCAGCTGCTGAGTAATCGTGGGCAAATCATTTCATGAAGCCAAACTGTGGGCCACGGCCAGTCATCTCCCAGGGTTGTCTAGGAGTAAATGAGACTTTGTGGCAGAAGTGCTTTGCACACTGAAAAGCGCTCTGCAGAGACTAGTTCTCTTCTCAGGCAACTGAGAGCAATGTTGTTCCTCGTTAAAACCACAATCGTGGCTGGGTATGGTGGCTCACGCCTGTGATCCCAGCACTTTGGGAGGCCAAGGTGGGAGGATCCCTTGATGACAGGAGTTTGAGACTGGCCTAGGTAACATAGCGAGGCCTCATCTCTACCCAAAAAAGCAAAAGAAAAAAAATATATAAATGTATACATACATATATATTTTAAAACAGCAATCGTGACATGCTGGTGTGAAAAAGCCTGTATTCGATGTCATAAAGAAGACAGACTGCCACTTCCCCCCCCTTCCTCCTGTGTTTGGCTTTTGGTCACCTCATTTTACCCCACCACCCCCCCATTACCCTATGTCACCCTTGGTCTTTTAATTACTAGGCACGTTGCAAACGATCAGCACTCTGGGCCTGTTAGCATGATGAATGAGCAATTAAAACTACATAAGCAATTACAACAGCTCCAAATTTTCCACGTTCAGCCCTGGCAGTGTGTTCTGCGGTGGGTTGGTCAGCTCCTCAGTCAGACGATGCAGCCCTTCTGCCGGAGAAAGAAGCTCTCTCTCGACTTCCACCCTCAGGTAATCGCTGGGCCCCCACAACTGCACACGCTCTGGGGGAAGTGGTGGAGGAAGCCTCTCCAAGGTCACAGGGTCCTGTCAGACAGACTGCCCTAACCCTTTAGGAAAAACACCATTTTTATTCATTCCAACCAATTGGAAGACACTACAAGAAAGCTGCGGTGGCAGCGGGGGGTGGGGGGGTTATTATGAGAAAGTCTCAGCCAGCTCGGTTGGCTCAGCCTGTAATCCCGTGCTTTTGGGAGGTTGAGGTGAGTGGATTGCCTGAGCCTGAGGGTTCGAGACCCGCCTGGGCAACTTGGTGAGACCTC